GAGGAGGGCCGCAAGCCTTAGGGTTTGGGTGGGGTGGGGGTGTGTGGGGTGGGGGTGGGAGGGGAGAGAGGGTGGGGCCAGCCCAAGTGGAACACAGACTGTGCAGCGCCCACGCGCTAGGCGCTGCACATTACATGTGTGGCGCCTAAGACTTAGGCGCTGGACAGGTGCGTGTGGGGCCGCAGCTGGACCAGGGCTGCCATGCTGGCAGCAGGTGCAACGCCTAAGGCTGAGGCGCTGCACAGTAGGGTGCGGCGCCTAACTGTCGGGCGCCACACGAAAGGGTCAGCAGAGTGAAATTTTTTTGAAAGCAGGTCAGTTTGTGAATTGATTTCTGCCTCAGGTCAAATATGTGATTTCTGCCAGCAGGAAACGAGCCATCCGTCCATTTTCACTAGACGCACTTGGGTGAGTGGTGTTGGAGACAGAAAAGAAGGAAAGTTGCTGGGCAGAAAAGCAAGATCTGCCTGCCTGCCTGCCTGATGAGAAGGGAAAGGGAGAGGGAAAGAGAAGCCCTCACGTGCTGCATGAGACGATGGGAACAATTAACCTCCTACAAGAGTCACTGCAAATCTACAGGTGCTTTGTGTATGCTATTCATCTCTGAAAATGATATGCTTGTCGAGAAAACGATGCATCACGTGCGCCTTCATCATGGCGGTCCATGGCTTGATGTTGCCATTGCTCTCAAGCAAACAAAGTTAACCATGCAAATACATACGCTAATTTGCTGATGCTTCATTTTATGCATTTCGCTGCAGCCCCAGAGACCAGAGTGCATGGGACCAGCCTAGCCTAGGGATCATCGTATACAAACTTACAAACTATGTACGTAAATGGAGACAAAAGCTCTTATTTTTCTGAGACAGACATAAGTTCATGGTCCTGGACCTGGTGAGCTACAATGGCCGGGCCGGCCCATGTGTGTGAATATGCAGTTTTTCACATGAACATTATTAGTTAAAAATAAAGGAACACAAGTTGGGCTGCTTACACTTACACTTGAGTGACGAGATTTTGGCCATCATCACAACAGTGTGGCAGTTGAAGATTTCAGCTGGGAGCTTTGCTTTCATCCACGACTTGGCATGCAACTCGTGACTCTGCAACCCGCACTTATATCCAAGTCATCAGGTCAGGATAGGCACTTCAGTACCAGTGCAAAGCTGCATGTGCATGTCATGTCATCACAATTATTATTAATCACATCTATTTACACAAAACTGCCATCATATTGACAAAGAAAATGCTCGGAATATGACAGCATTCGCAAGCATAAGTGTCTTGCACGGAATGACACACGGTTATTTTCCAGATTTGGACATTGCATAACAAAACACAGCAAGACAAATGTTGGGCTCAAAGTCAACAAGATTTCAAGTCCCAACGTAGAACAACCAATTCCATTTGCAATGATGCTATCTGTTGCCACTCTGGCAATTATCAACAGCATTGAAGGTACAGTACTATAGTTCAACAAATGTGAAAAGATTACATCACTTACTCAAGAGGAGAAAAATTACAAGCCGGCAAAACTCTAACATCCTTACAACATACTTGACCAACTTCTAAAAATGCTATATCTAACTATTATAACAGCCCTGTTATCCTTGATACAGGGGAAAGAATGACTAATGACGCATGTCAACATGTGTAACCAAGGTACATGTGAAGTAATAGGTACGGCCTTGTGAACACTACCTAGCCTTGGCTACTTCAGGATAATCACAGACCGAAACAACAGAGAGTAAAAAATGTTCAAATCACCAATACCCCCTGTCTACTAGTCATGCCAACTGCCAAGCCAAGAAACAAAACGAACTCCAGAGTCAAAACTTTCTGCCACCCAACACAAGCCTGGCCAAAGCTCTTGCCTACTGTATGAAGGCACAGGATCATCAAGCGGCACACTTTTCTGGCTTCTCCAGTCTGTCACGTATTTTTGCATAGAAATCCCAATTCGGATCACTCTCAGTAATGAAAGGTTGACCAAAAGGGTGCTCCTGAACATAACGCTGAACATCATCTGCAGCAGCAAGGTTCTCTAGATACACACGAAGATCTCCACCTGGTCCTGTTTATGGAACAACATTCAGCATTAATGATTCGACACATGTAAAACAGTAAAGCGATCTTAAAATGATGAATCTGACCCAATGAATTATCCGTCCTGTTATGGTAGCTGTAGGGTTGTGGGAAAATGGCAGTGTGTGGCTGCAAAATACAGATGTCAACATAAAATATATGTGAATAGCAACAGATGGGCTTAGCATCAACACATACAACACAATAGGAGCAGAGGGTACAACTCAGTACCGGATTGCACAGAGCCTTGTAAGGGGAATCATCCACAAGCAAAGTATTCGAAGGTGAAAATTCCCCTTGCTCCCACGGAAGATCAGGGTCCTCTTTATTCCACAGTTTCTTTAGTTCCTTCAATACTAAGGGTTTGCATTGATTCTCAAGAGTATTACACTTGGTAGCAGTGCAGTGAGATGCATCCTGGGCAGATTAGAACAGTGAATGCATTAGGACTTCTGAGTAACTCCAGAAAGAGAAACAGTCGAAAATAATATAGCAATGCGAATGACATTTTAACACATTCCTGGACTGTGCAAATGCACATCACCTGACATTCTTGCAATTATACTCCAAGTGGAGACCATCAACAACAAAATTAGGCCGGAGATTAGAAGTAGCAAGTACACATGCATTTCCATTACTTACCCAGCAGAATAGCAAGTGTCGCCTGAGATCTTTCATAAGGATATCGACAACATCATCCACATTTACTCTGGAGAATTAGAAAATTGGAATTAGCACCGTGCGGATAAATCATGTCAAGTGGAGAGGTGTAGGGGGAAAGAATCAGTACTTCATTCTCGACGACCATACCCCTAGCTCAAAGTTCTGGAAGCAAAATCTCAGAAAATCGTCATGGTATGGTCTTATGAAGACTGTTGCAATAGTATATCATCGAACATTAGCATTTTGATGAGATAGAAATTCCGATCAAGATTGATACCAAAAGGAAAGTGCTGCACAAGGAATATTAAAGAAGTAACTTTACCATATTTGCCTCGAACTTTTGCATGTGCCAAGCGAGAGTCTCGAGAGTTGCGGTGGATTGGAGTGATATCCGCAAGCAGACCATTAAGATCAAGAATAAGAAGTTTTTTCCTCTGAAACCTTACAAGCGATCCTCCTGGTGAGTACATGTCCTGGACAACATTTTTTGCAGTAACCTCAGATTCACATATTGAGTATCCCATACTTCCTGTAACCTTCACGGTACCTGTTCTACACACATCGTTCCTTTCATCTGAGCTGACATCACCCACCGCAGGTGCCTCAGTAACAGCTACTTGAGCCCTCTTCTTCCTTCTCCGTTTCTTCCGCTTAGGCTTATGAGAGTTGCCGTTATTCTCATTCTTTCCCTCCACCAAATTTTCAGCTATGTTTACCTCAGGACAATCTGGTCCCTTTCCATTTCTGGGACTCATACTGATTTCAGTATCTCCTGGTAGACCTTCCCCTCCTTCGCCTTCTATGTAGCCCTTTTCAATTTTATCCACCACAACAGCACTGGTGTCTGGTCTAGCAGAAGGGGATTGATCTTGCTTACATTTCTTCTGTTTCTTGAGCTTAGGTTCCTGAGAGTAGTCTTCATTCACTTTATTTTCCTTCACCAAATGCTCAGTTATGTTTACATTGGGACATTCTGGACCCTCTTCCGGTTTGGGACTCGTAGTAACATCACCACCTCTGGATGCAGCTTCCACATTTGTGCTGCCACGTCCTGATTTATCTGGCACAACATCACCGGCATCCAACAAGGTAGAAGGGGATTGCTCCTGGTTCTTCTTCTTCCATTTGTTGAGCTTATTCTTCTTCAACTTTGGTACCCCCTTCTCTGTAAAGTCTACTCCAGGACATTTTGAGTCCTCTCCATCTCTAGGGCTAATACTAGCTTCACCATCCTGTGGTGCACCATCACCATTCATACAGCTAATTCCAGATTCATCTGCCACAACAGCACCAGTATCAAGTACAACAGAAGGGGATCCTTCCTTGTTATTCTTTCGTTTCTTGGGCTTACGCTTCTTCTCCTCCTGTGTCCCCTTCTCTGCCATGTTTGCCTCTGGACAGCATGGATCCTCTACTGTGCTCATACTAACTTGAGCATCTCCCAAAGCATCATCCCCATCCGTGCCAACATTTCCAGATTTGTCTGCCTCAACAGCACCATCATCAGACACAGCAGCAGGGGATCGCCCATGCTTATTCTTCTTCCATTTCCTGGGTTCAGGCTCCTTCCTCTCCAGTGTCTCCTCCACAATGTTTACCTCGGGACAGTCTTGACCCTCTCCATTTCTGGCACTCATACTAATTTCAGCAACTCCTGGAATACCCTTCCCATCTGTGCTGTCACTTTCAGATTTACCAACCACAATGGCGGCATCCACTACAGCAGGAAAGGATGGTTCATGCTTGTTCTTATTCCGTTTCCCCAGCTTGGACTTCTTACCCTTGGGTACATCCTGCTCTGCAATGTTTGCAGCAGAAAAGCCTAGATCCTCTTCATTTCTGGGACGCCTACTAGCTTCATCATCTCCTGGTACATCTTCCACATTTTTGCAGCCAACTCCGGATTTGTTTACCTCAATAGCGTTGTCATCAGACACAGTAGAAGAGGATGGCTCCTGCGTAATCTTCTTACTCCTTTTTCTTTTCTTGTGAACTTCAGAGTCTCCTAGAACACCTTCCCCATCAGTGCAGTCATCACCTGATTTACCCGTGGCGGCAGCATCAGCACCCGATGCAGCAGCACAAGGAGATTGCTCCCTCTTATTCTTCTTTCGTTCGTTGAGCTTAGGCTTCTTTTCCCTGTCCGTTGTCCCCTTCCCTGTAGAAGCCATAAAATCAGTGCGGCTATACATGCTTTCTCCAAGCAACACAAGGAAAACAAAGACAGATTAGCATGGCTAGTGCGAATCAGGGGCAGGAAGCAAAGCATTGGACTACCAGATGGATAAACCCAGCCCTAGCCGCAGACGCAGCCACGGACACACGCATTTCACCGTTTCAACGAGACGCATAGCCGGGCGTAGGTGCTTACCTGCATCGGCGGGATCCAGTGCGTGTACAGTGGCGGAGGCCTCCTGCGCGGCCCTGGCGTCGCCGCCCCGTCGCCTGCTCCTCCTCGGCGTGGCTGAATCAGAAGCGGCAGCGGATACCGCGGGAGCCTCCTCCGGCGCACCCGTAGCGGCAGCCTCGCCCCGCCGCTTGCCCTTCTTCCCCATCCGATCTAGTTTTTCTGGGACAGGCAGAAGATGGCTGAATACACCGAGCGCATCAGGGCGCAGACCGCCAGAGCCTCCCTGCTGGTGACTGCAAGGTAGGGGCAGAGCAGCGCGACGTGGTTTCGGCGGCGGCGGCGGCGTCGCTGCCTGGATTAGGTTTAAGCGACGTGTCGGGTTCGATTTGTCACCCGCGCGCCAACACGCAAAGCCCTGCCATTACATTGGGCCGTACGAGTTTGGGCTGTACTATGTTAAAAAAAACAGAGTTTGGGCTGTACGAATAAACGAAATTGCATCAATTAATGATCCAATTTGTCTAAAAAATAGAGTTTGGCCTGTGATCACTTGCGAGTGGTGGCGCACTCCGTGTCGCGCTCTGGGTGTTGCTTTCGGTTCTTTTATTTTTTTCGCACATGTTTTCGGTTTTTAAAGTATTTTTTCTTTTTTTTTAGTTTTTCATCGATCTTTCTTAGCTTTTGGAAAAAATGTGTTTTCCTTTTTTCCTTTTGCTTTTGCGAGAGGCACAACCGTGCCTCTCGAAAACAGAAAAAAAAAACATGTTTTTTGTTTTTTTTACGAGAAGAAGCACGGTTGTGTTTTCGGTGAGGCAAGGCCGTGCCTCTCGGAAATGGAAAAAAACATGTTTTCTGGGTTTTTTTTCTTTCACGAGAGGCACGGTTTTGCTTTCGTGAGAGCATGACCGTGCCTCTCAGAAATGAAAAAAATGTATTATTTATTTTTTTTCTTTCGCGAGAGGCACGGTTTTGCTTCTGCGAGAGGCACGCCCTTTAGAAAACGAAACAATGTGTTTTCTGTTTTCTTTCCTTTCGCGAGAGGCATGGTTTTGCTTTCGCGAGATGCACGATTGTGTTTCACGAGAGGCACGACCGTGCCTTTCGAAAATGAAAAAAATGTTTTCTTTATTATTGTTTTCCTTCCACGAGAGACACGGTTTTTTTTCACGAGAGGCATGTTGTGCTTTCGTGACAGGCACGACCGCGCCTCTTTTAGAAAGGAAAAAAACCGTGCTTCCGGTTCGGTTTTTTCGTGAAAAGAAGTCTTCAAAACCTATCAACATGGGATTTAGTTTTGAAGTTTTCAACGCAAGAAATCCAATGGTGAAAATGATTCGAGATTTGTACGCATGGTTTAAGAGATAACACGTTTCGAATAAGCGGATCTACAAAAAAGGGAAAGCTCTCAGGTTGCGAGTCGCAACCTAGGAAGGTGGAAGTGATCTTTGCAAGGAGTACTCCTCAATTAGGCTAGTTCTTTTGCTGGCTTCTAACATAAACCGGAATAAACTACCCCCTACCCAACTTATTCTAAAAGCCTATTTTTTAAAAGTCTACTAATTAAGACTTGACTAGTAGGCTTCTAAAACAATAATTTTGGTTGGGCTTCAATAATAAACTTGATAGGGGCAGCTTATTCTAGAAGCCCAAAAGGCCACCAAAAGAACTGACCCTTAGTGATTTCGTTGGCCTGTACTATTGTCGGTGTTCTGGGAACAGGGATATCCAGACTTGCCTGTCATAGGCCCATGACGTGGCTCTGTCGACGGCCCGGTATGGCCCGACTTTAGCATCGACAACCCAAGACCCACGCGAGGGGCCGAGTCTCGCGAGGCGGACGACACCAAGATCTCCCTGGGGGCAACCTCACCAGGCTGGCTCCCGAGGAGCGGAGATATAATGCAAGGTGCACCACGCGAGGTTCATATGACGTGAGCCATGACGACTAAGGCCAGGCGGGCGCCAGCGGGCGCAGTGTACCAGTTTCCTCTTTGGTGCTAAGAAGGCAAACGCAAGTGCGGAGTCCCGAGGAATCAAGCAAAGGTTTCCATTCCGGCGCAACAAGACTAAGACCGCTAGGACGGCAAGACGGAGGTCATCGCGGAGCCCACCACGGCGTCACGGCCAAGAGCTTTTGCAGGGGAAGACTAATTTTGTCAGGATAGCATGTACTAGTTGTCTCCTTTCAAAATAGGCCGTTGTAGGATCCCTTCTTTCCTTACATTTGGGAAGAGGGCCAAGACCACTATAAATAGGACTTAGCCACCACCATAGCACATGACGGATCATTCAGATTATCCTCACACCCACCAGCTCATCGAGCGCAAGAACACCTCACCTCCTGAGGCTGTTCGACATTGCACTGGTTCATCCACAGCCCTCAAGGCAAATCCACCACAAAGCAGGAGTAGAGTTTTACACCGCAAGATGGCCCAAAATCGGGTAAACTACTGTGTCTCTTGTCTATTTGGTTCGTCGAGCTAGGCCATGGAATCAGAGCGTAGGCAGACTAGGGAGGACTGTTGGGGAACGTAGCAAAATTTTAAAATTTTCTACGCATCACCAAGATCAATCTATGGAGTCATCTAGCAACGAGGGAGAGAGGAGTGCATCTACATACCCTTGTAGATCGCGCGCGGAAGCGTTCAATAGAACGAGGTTGGTGAAGTCGTACTCGTCGTGATCCAAATCACCGATGACCAAGTGCCGAACGGACAGCACCTCCGCGTTCAACACACGTACGGTTGGGAAGACATCTCCTCCTTCTTGATCCAGCAAGGGGGAAGGAGAGGTTGATGAAGATCCAGCAGCACGACGGCGTGGTGGTGGATGCAGCAAGATCCCGGCAGGGCTTCGCCAAGCGCAAGCGGGGAGGAGAGGTGTTACGGAGGGAGAGGGAGGCGCCAAGAGCAAGGGGTGCAGCTGCCCTCCCTCCCCCCTCTTTATATAGGTGCCTTGGGGGCGGCCCTAGGAGATGGATCTCCAAGGGGGGCGGCGGCCAAGGGGTGGCTTCCCCTCCAAGCCAAGTGGGGGGCGCCCCCACCCCTAGGGTTTCCCAACCCTAGGCGCAGGGGAGGCCCAAGGGGGGCGCACCAGCCCACTAGGGGCTGGTTCCCCTCCCAATTCAGCCCATGGGGCCCTCCGGGATAGGTGGCCCCACCCGGTGGACCCCCGGGACCCTTCCGGAGGTCCCGGTACAATACCGGCGACCCCTGAAACCTTCCCGATAGCCAAAACTAGACTTCCTATATATAAATCTTTACCTCCGGACCATTCCGGAACTCCTCGTGACGTTCGGGATCTCATCCGGGACTCCAAACAACTTTTGAGTTACTGCATACTAATATCTCTACAACCCTAGCGTCACCGAACCTTAAGTGTGTAGACCCTACGGGTTCGGGAGACATGCAGACATAACCGAGATGACTATCCGGTCAATAGCCAATAGCGGGATCTGGATACCCATGTTGGCTCCCACATGCTCCTCGATGGTCTCATCGGATGAACCACGATGTCGAGGATTCAATCAATCTGTATACAATTCCCTTTGTCAATCGGTACGTTACTTGCCCGAGACTCGATCGTCGGTATCCCAATACCTCGTTCAATATCGTTATCGTCAAGTCACTTTACTCGTGCCGTAATGCATGATCCCGTGATCAACCACTTGGTCACATTGAGCTCATTATGATGATGCATTACCGAGTGGGCCTAGAGATACCTCTCCTTCATACGGAGTGACAAATCCCACTATCGATTCGTGCCAACTCAACAGACACTTTCGGAGATACCTGTAGTGTACCTTTATAGTCACCCAGTTACGTTGTGACGTTTGGCACACCCAAGGCACTCCTACGGTATCCGGGAGTTGCACAATCTCATGGTCTAAGGAAATGATACTTGACATTCGGAAAAGCTACAACAAATGAACTACACGATCTTTGAGCTATGCTTATGATTGGGTCTTGTCCATCACATCATTCTCCTAATGATGTGATCCCGTTATCAATGACATCCAATGTCCATAGTCAGGAAACCATGACTATCTTTTGATCAATGAGCTAGTCAACTAGAGGCTCACTACGGACATGTTGTGGTCTATGTATTCACACATGTATTACGATTTCCGGATAACACAATTATAGCATGAACAATAGACACTTATCATGAACAAAGAAATATAATAATAACCATTTTATTATTGCCTCTAGGGCATATTTCCAACAGTCGCCCACTTGCACTAGAGTCAATATTCTAGTTACATTGTGATGAATCGAACACCCATGCAGTTCTGGTGTTGATCATGTTTTGCTCTAGGGAGAGGTTTAGTCAACGGATCTGCCAATTCAGGTCCGTATGTACTTTACAAATCTCTATGTCTCCATTTTGAACACCTTCACGAATGGAGTTGAAGCGATGCTTGATATGCCTGGTCTTCCTGTGAAACCTGGGCTCCTTGGCAAGGGCAATAGCTCCAGTGTTGTCACAGAAGAGAGTCATCGGGCCCGACGCATTGGATATGACTCCTAGGTCGGTAATGAACTCCTTCACCGAGACTGCTTCTTGTGCTGCCTCCGAGGCTGCCATGTACTCCGCTTCACATGTAGATCCCGCCACAACGCTTTGCTTGCAACTGCACCAGCTTACTGCCCCACCATTCAAAATATACATGTATCCGGTTTGTGACTTAGAGTCATCCAGATCTGTGTCGAAGCTAGCATCGACGTAACCCTTTACGACGAGCTCTTCGTCACCTCCATAAAGGAGAAATATATTCTTAGTCCTTTTCAGGTACTTCTGGATATTCTTGACCGCTGTCCAGTGTTCCATGTCAGGATTACTTTGGTACCTTCCTACCAAACTTATGGCAAGGTTTACATCAGGTCTGGTACACAACATAGCATACATGATAGACCCTATGGCCGAGGCATAGGGGACGACACTCATCTTTTCTCTATCTTCTGCCGTGGTCGGGCATTGAGCCGTGCTCAATCTCGTACCTTGCAATACAGGCAAGAACCCCTTCTTTGACTCATCCATTTTGAACTTCTTCAATATCTTGTCAAGGTACGTACTCTGTGAAAGACCAATGAGGCGTCTCTATCTATCTCTATAGATCTTGATGCCTAATATATAAGCAGCTTCTCCAAGATCCTTCATTGAAAAACACTTGTTCAAGTAGGCCTTTATGCTTTCCAAGAATTC